GCTGAGTGATCTTTTGCTCGACCAGGGGATCGTTCGGCTGAGCCGACTTGGGGCGCTGCGAATGTCTCGCCTGCTGCTGTGCCTGAGCTCTTTGCCTTTGCTGCTGCTGAGCCTTTGCCATCGCTGCTTGCTGGTGCATACCGGGCCAGAGACGGCCGACGTTGCTAGTCTGTGTCGCAACGACTGGGGGCGAGGGGAGGCTGCTGGGCTCCTGGCCTCCGATTGAGTTAGGGTTGACCGTCGAATCGAAGAAAAAGCCGGCATCGCCCGAGGGCGAATCGAACTCCATCTCCATTTCAGGGGTACTCATGGAACCCTGCGACGGCGCCGTGTTGAAGTCGAAGACGTCGTCCGTGTTCCCCATCCCTAGGTAGTCGGTACCGAAGCCGGAGTAGCTTTGGATTAGAGAGTTGTTCTGGTTGACAGCAAGTGTGCTCGCCAGGGCGCCCGGGACCATGCCAGTTTGCTGCTTGTAGAGGTCGTACTGGTGGCTGGGGCCGGTCATCTGCTGGTTGTTCGTCAGAAGCGATGCCGTCGTGGACTCGATCTTGACTGGTCTCGCAAACGGTGTCTTATTCGAGGCGGTGGGTGAGAGCGAGGGCGATTGAAATGCACCGAGGTTGTCGTAATCGGAGAAGTCGATCATGGACTCGATGCCCAAGGGATCGAGCAGACCGGGCTGCGATGCAGCTGGACTCGTTGACATGGATCCCGACATTGCTGTTCCCCGCTGGGATTCCTTCGAGTGGCCCGTCACGGCGGATTCAATCGATGCAATCGTTTGGTGGTGGTGGTGGTTTGTGTAAGTTGCGGGAATACGGGCGGTTTGTGCAGCGAGTCGTTCGTTCGTTCCTGGCGGAGAGAGTTTGGAGGTGGACGGGAAAGGCGCTGGAGAGAAAGTTGGGGGATTTTCTGTCTATGGGTGCCTGGAAGCGAGTTGGAACGGGTTGGTTTGGGTGCCCGGGCGCTTGGCAGTGTCCGGCTGGAAGGGGTCTGGTTGGACAGGCCAAGGCAGGCTGACAAGGGTGGTGCTGCTTCGAGGAGGGGGGACGCGTAATCAATGCGAGGACGACCGATCACCCAATTCTGCGTCTGGGTTCAGAGCAAGCGTAGCGAGCGGCCCGAGCCAATCAGCAGCGCCCGTGTGAGAAATAGCCTGTTCGCGGCGGGACGGCGCAATGGCTGCACCTCTGGTTGCTCGAGCTGTCCTTTGGCTGTCCACTGCACGCTGCTGCTAAGCCGGTACTTAGCTCCTGGCGATGTAATGCCCCGCAAATCGCTGTAAATCGCGGCGCGGGCCTAGGTACTGTCTGACCCTCCACCTGCGGCCTGAGGTGACGAAGCAGCTTCCTGTTCGGGGAATTTGGCGATCGCGAGGGTGGCTCGTTGTGGTCAGGGGAGTTTGCAGCAAGACGGGAGGGAAACGGCGACGCGATCCAGTTGACGACACTCGGCCTCCTCAATCAAGAGCAAGATAAGTACGCTGAGGTGAGGGCCCAAGGCTCGCGATAACGCTCAACTGTGCGGGCTGTCTTTCTCGCCCTCTCTTTCTCGCCCTCTCTCTCTTTCTCCGCCCATACGCAAAATGTGTGACTCGGCCGGAATGCTTGGGACGGGAATGAGACCAAGTGATGGAAGCCCGCAGCCAGCCAAGGAGGAGCATGGTCCGAGACCGCCAGGTGGCTGTGAGGTAGGTACCTGGTACTTCCGTCGGAGCCTGTGCCTCTGTGCATTGGCTGGCAACGGCTGTAGCTGTGAGCTCGGCCGCCAATCAGCATCTCTGGTTCCGACACTGCCTCAGTAGGTGGTCAAAAGCGAAAGCAAATCGCTGTCGCTGTTGAATGAAATTGCTCCTTCCGCACGCCTTTCTCACCCTCCAGCCCGAACGTTCGAATCCCACAAAGCCCCCCGCGGGACGACGCTCGCTTTCGTGTGGTAATAGCGCAGGATTAGGAGGGCCAATACTGCTGCCCCTTCGGTGGCTACTAGGCGCGATATTGCTGGCAGCATGCGACGGTATCAAACGCAGCCTCGTGCTCCACGCACATTGCCAATTGCATCGCCTGTAGATATTCATGCCTGTCCCTGCCGTTCCTGAAGGCCGTTCCACTTCAACTGGCGCCCCAGACGCAAAACGCAGACAGTTCTCGTGTTCAGCCACAGAAAGGGGTCTGGTGTCGACGGCGTCGCTGCACTGCCTCACTTTGTCGCAGGGAACTTTGGCCGCTACTGACTTTGAGCAAGAGTTGGGGAGATGAGGGCGCAAATGGACACATCTCGGCGAATGCACACAAAAGAAGCAACAACGAAAGAGGCAAAAAATAACCGTCTCAGCTCAGACGCAGCAGCAGTAGCAGTAGCAGCAGCAGCGCCGGACTGTGGGAGTTGAGGGCGTCGGGCCCCGACTCTCTGGCACCGAGCGCCTCCAGTGGCTCGGGGATAACGGTGAATGGGCCGGTGGAGACGTCCGACAAAGAAGCGGCGGTTTCAGCAGCTCGACGCCAATCAATACACCGGTGGTCGGCTTTTGGAAACAGCCGGTGGGGGAAAGGTCAGCAGTGGAATGTTGGCTCCAGTGCTCTTGAACCTTGCTGCGGCTTCTGCAGATCGATTCCTTGTCGACCGCAGGCTAGCCCCCCGACTGGATGCAAAAATAGAAAGCCGCCTCGATCTCTGGCAGCACAGTTTCACCACTGTCTCTTGTTGTCCTTGTCCTTGTGCCCACACAAGAGCCTCCAGCACACCGCGTGCCCACCGTCGACCGGCCGCTGACAGCTGCGAAAACTGGAGCACGGCAAGGATGGTTACAAAAGCGGTGCGACTCCCACAAAATGGATCCCGTGGAGCTCCCGCAGAAGGTGAGAGGCCTCCCGCTTAATCCTCGGTCTAGGGTCGAATGGTTACACTATCCACGTGTATTGCATTGCCAGCGATCCTCCCTGATCTTCACCCATCTGCCCTGCACACCCAGCTGAAAGCCGTCCGAGCTTCCCGACGGCGAGCATCGACGTACAAACGCAAGCGCATCTCAGCCTCTATCGGTAAACATCTTCAGCCCGACGGCTCTGCCCGCGTGCCATGACGGTTACCAAAAATGACATGGCTATGCATAATTGTACCTCGTACAATGTACGATAGCCCTCTCGCCTAGTGGGAGCAACCCCTACCCCAGCTTCTAGAAAGAAGAGGCTGTTTCGTCGGCTTCGACGCCCAAAAGCAAATCGCATTCTCCCGCCATTATCCAAATGAACAACATATCACCACTGCATACCTGAATCGAGCAAAAAGTCCCCCAGCTGCATCACGTGCCGCCAACTAACCTTGCAGCCCGACGGCAAAGAGTTTCGAGATCGGCATCCTCCTGTGGCTCGCTGCGCCGATGGCTGTGGCTGTGTAAGTGCGCATTCGCCACACTTGGCCCTTTGCGGACGGGAGAGACCGGGAAAGCATTGAGTTTAAGCCAGCAGAATTCTGATTGAGGAATGAAGTCATGGCATGTTGTGGCTTTGCCTTGATCTGGACACAGCGCTCTACCATGACGAAAAGGACAGCTTGCCGGTTTGCGCTGCGGTCTGATCTTTGAGGGATCGTCAGGGGCGCCACACCTTTGGAGGAAGCGCTGTGACGCCCCTGAGAGGGAGTGTTCCTGATTCCACCTCCCCTGTCTACGCATCCTCCCCAGGGATCCCCTGAAGATGGTCTCGCTCCCTATTTTGCTTCCGGCAGATCCGATGCAAAGTCCGTGCCGACATTACATCACGTTGTAAAGCTAGACACGATCCAAATGGCACCCGTGGCCCTCAATATGAAGTCATTCTTGTCGGCATATGTTTGACATCCAATAGATCAATTCGAGGCTGGGCAGCAGCCTGTGAGCCCATAGTAAGCTAAGCAACTAGCCCTGTAATGTCGAAAGTGTCATAGGAAATGGCTTGAAGAACTCAAAGAAGACGTTCGCAATTGCGATATGCTTCCGTGGCCACTAGTACCAAGAAGACAGAATATTTCAGGAAGCCTTCCATCCACCTCTTTCAGAGCACAAACTACTGTCACGGTTGAACTAGTAGCTACTAGAGTAATAAATATCCATTCAGTACTATAGTAGAATAGCTCAGGATTCGATGGTTGGATGACCGATCCACCACGATGTCCCTTTACTAGCTCTACTACTGGCAATACTACTTCCAAGACACGCTCGTGCTTACCCATCACTGTTACAAAGCGATGTGTTTTGAGATCATGATGCATTGCATAGTAGGAAGCCGTGACTAGTTTCCCTCGAGTTCTCGTCGCAACCAGGCCTCACCTGCATGCTCATCATGCAGCGGTTTTTTCTCGCCACTTTTGCCTTCAGGTGTTTGTTGCTCTCCTGCTACTACTCCAGAAACAGAAAGAACTGTTACAGGCGGTAACGTACATTGAGGTTGACGAAGCGATTGAAGACCAGTATAAGTCCGTGTACTATCAGGTTTCCCAACCAGTGTTGGCCAAGTTTGAAACAACAAATTAACGACATATCAACACATGTCCCTAGTCTCCGAAACCAATGCCAGAAATAGCTCCTTAGGCTAGAGAGATTACTGAGCTCTACCTGAGTATATAGCTTGAGCCCTAGCTAAATATCATGGACAGTATCGGAGTGTTGTATAAGCTCAGCGTGACCCTTTAAGTTCTGGGAATGGGCCATACAAGTTTTGTATCGCATTTACTGTCTGGCATTCTCAGTTTCTAGTCTTGAAAGATGATGCTTCTCCTTTTCCCGGCGGTGAGACAATAAATCTCCAAACGAGGACACAGGGACTGAAAAATGCGTTTTGGTCCAGTCCCCAGGCTGCAAGAATGTAACGATGGTGACTCGACATACAAAAAGCTGTTTCAGGGACCGCTTTAGGCCCCAAATCACACCGAAGCAACCCGGCTCAATAGAGAATAACACCAAAAAGCCATCGACCCCGAAATAGGGGTCATTCGAGATTGGGAAGGGAGGCAAAAAAAAGAAATAGTCCTGGCGGGGATTGAACCCGCGACCGTCGCATACCAATGACCCAGTGAAAGGTATAAGAGCGAAATCTTAACCGCTAGACCACAGGACTATCCGTGAGGTTGCATTCGGACGCCGTAAAATGGTTCTATGATTGACCAGGCGGACTGCGCACGGTCATTTGGGCACCATAGCGCTGAAATGGGACTCGGAGTCCACTGAAACAGCTTGGTCGGCCCACCTATAGCGGGCTGTTCTACTGTAGCTCAGCTCCCACAGCCAAATGATGTCACGTTTTTTTGACTTCATGCAGTCTCTAACAACCGAGTCCTAGTCTTCGACCTACACCCACAACTTGGGGGAAACTGATCAACACTCATCAGCTACAAAAGAAAAAAAATCTGTTCGAAATACGAGACCCAGGACGTAACAACTTGAAGTATGGGTGCGTTGGTGAGTCTTTCGACAAAGTAGCCGACCGCCCCACCCGTTCACGAGTCAAACGGGTCGTTCCTGCCTTCCAAGCTCCATGCCTCCCTCCACTTGCTCAGCGGGCCAAACAATGAGCTGAGCTCAGGCTACTTGGCCTTTTACGACCCAACCCTGAACCCATTAGACGATGTATTACGAATCTCTGGCAAAAACTACGAAGTCGCGCTGACCGTGGCATCTTCCACGAGGTAAGTTTCCCCCTTCACCTCGACATCCATCATGTGAGCATGCTAAACATATCAGACGGTCATGGCCATGAACGACCTCCAAATCGTTAGCGGCATTTTAATTTTCAATCCTCGTTAGTGGATTTTATCCTCTCACCAAAGGCGCATCAGGCTATCATTGGATAATGGTCGTGCGGATCGCTTAGTTCTCGACCATCACCTGCTTGGCAGCACTGTCTTGTTTGCGGACATACCTCCATGAGAACCAACTGAAACGGGCTCTGAGATTGTTTCTGTATGAGCTGTCTTGTCACCACGCCTGTTGCCGCTATGCTAAGCATCTCCAATCTCCCCGACTGGAACGCGTCAGCCATCTGTTATTTCGACCTTCCGCGAATCGATGATCATACGGGAACGGGCCTAAACGAAGTCTTTCAGTCATGCTCATTCTTACAATACCCTTCTCCGCACTCTGAAACTTCATCGGATCGTCTCAGAAGCCGCGCCCCTCAAGATTCGACGGAAAGCTGCCCTCTGTTTTTAAGCCAATCGCCGATTGTCTTGTCATGCCAATCATGCTACCTGATGCTATCCTCAGCTGTTGCGGAGGTACGCCAAATCATGAGGAAAACTCTACCGTGATGGGGCCCGAATTAACGGCATCTTCCAGACTTACTGGCTGCTCGTCGCGGCGGGGTATGGAACATTCGGGCTCTTCTAAATCCGAAGAGTTTTGTATGGAGTATCCGATGGAGAGCAAAACTGGACCTTTGGCCAAGTCGTCCCGTGCGTCATGTTGCCGGCACCAGTCCTTGTGTTTATGGACATGTTGTGACGGGACCATGACTAAGATGCCAAGTTATGGGCCGTATAATGGAATTAAAGAATCTATGAAGAAGCTAAGATGTGGTGGCCCCAAGGGGCCCTATATGTATGCCCAGCTTCCGCTATCACATGTGCTGGGAATAGCTAGACTAGTCGTCATAGATGCTGTCATGCCGCCTGGCGTACCGACCGGTGCGGCCGGTTGGTCCGTCGGTTAACAACCTTATCGGTTGGCAATGCCAGCCTCATAGTCACGGGCGCTAGCCCCATAACACATAGTGGCCAAGGCTTTAAGATCAGAGAACCCACTACTACCTATAGGTCTGGTTGCTTCAAGATCACTGCTTTTTGACTAACATAAGTGTAGAATAAAACATTCAAATCCCACGAGGCAACAGATACTCCCGGTGGTACGAGGAATTCAACGCCATGTCGACAGCCCCCCCACCCGCTAGCGAGTATCCTCGAGAAGTTGACTCTCGATCATTCTCCCCTGTTAGTGTTGGTCCGTTAATCACCTTCGACATGAACGACACTGGCCAGCGGCCCTACCTGCATTACTTTGGAGACCTGGTATGTTTCAGATACTTGGTTATGCAGCTTTGCGCCTGGGCTCCATACTCAACATTTTGGGTCTTCTTCGCTCCCTTTCGCGTATTTAATGCGGTGACTGCCTATTTCACCAGTCGCTATTTACTTCGTATTCAAATTCATACGCTGGGACCGCCAGGTGGTATGTCTCCGGCATTGTCCGCTTACCTCGCGATACAACGGGGCCCGGTCGTACCGTTCAGTATATTCCGTATTATATCTTCTGTGCTACCCTCGCAAGTCCCTAATGTCTCGGCCTCTCATGGTATCCCTAACTTGTGGGGGTTCCCTGGGGCTTTTCGGTTTTCTGGCCATTTTGTTTTCCTTCTTTTCTACCAGGCGACTCCTTATACAGGCTCTGTAAAGGAGCACCCGCATCGTGTAGGCAAATAGAAAAGTACCTTGCAATCACAAAATATAGAAAAACACGATACCCTCCTACATAATACAACACCAAAGGGTGGGCGAGGAGTACTCGGGATCATCATTGGGGGAGATAGTCACACAATATAAGCATTTTGATATATAGGTTTGCATTGTTCTACAAAAGAAAGGTCAACGGTGCCGTATCATCTTACTTACCTTACCTGATACCAACCAAGGATGATAGGGCCTACCGATTGCGAGTGGAGACGTTCTCAGGGCCTGCGAGGGTGTGCTGGCTCGGGTAAAAACTGGTCCCATCAAAAGATAGTCACCTACTCAATACCGGCCTCCTCGTCGTCGTAGTCATCCATGGTCAGGTCAATCACAACCCGGTTGTCAACCACGGCGGTGCCAACCTGGGGAGCATCAACTGTGCCAGTGCCAGCCGGGGGAGCGTCAGCCTGGGGAGCAATGTCAGCCGGGGGGGTGGTCTTCTTAGCTTGCAACTTCCTCCTCCCCCTCGCACTCGCCTTCGGTGTGCGACTGTCCCCCCCCTTTGCGCGCTTGGTATAGGGGGCGGCCCGCGCCCTGGACGCCTTTGCCTTGTCGATTGCGGCTAGATTAGGATACGGTCCGTCGTCCGAAAGGGCCATTTTGAAGGCCATGATCGGTGCGGCAAAGTCTTCACCGACATCCTTCGGCGTGGTGGTACCGTCGCTGTTGGACTCGCTCGGGAGGTCGTCGTTGACTATAAAGCTATGGTCAGCGGCGTTCGCGGCATCGGCCTTTGCTTCAAGGATCTCTCGGTGGTTGTTATGCCGGTGAGCTTGAAGGCCAAGCTCAAAGCTGAACCAGAGTGGGCATAAATCACACTTGTAGCCGAATCGAAAGTGCGGGTGGGCTTCCAGGTATGCGTCCCCCAAGTGTCCACCACACCTCCGAGGAAGTTTTGCTAAAGCCAAACTGGACTTGCCGTTCTTGTCTCGGTTGATTTGTTGACACCGGGTGAACCCCCTCTGGTAATTCAATCGTAAGTAGCAGCTCAGGGTTATGGGAAACAGTTCCTCATCGTTCTCCCCGAGGTGCTCGACGAGGTAAAAAGGTCCCTGGGGACCCGCCTGGAAGAGAAACCTGTTGGGGCTCTGAGGAACCTGGCTGAGACCTTGTTCCTGTACTAAATACACGAGCTCCTGATCGGACGACTTGCACATGACAGGGACAACTGCGTTTGTCAGTTTGTCGGTCAACATCAAGGTGTGTAACCGCCCGCCAGAGCTTGGTTGGGGACGAGGTCGGTTTAGTACACTGGTACCGCTAGCTGGTACAGCTGGGAAACCAGCAGGGGCGCTCGAACCTGGATACTCCATGTCTACGACGAGTAGGAATTCTTGACTTCAAGAGTTTCCACGAGGGTTTGAGTTTGTCGTGTGGGAGATAAGGAGATGTGGTGATCTCGTGGCTAAACGGGCACTTCCACTCGTGTCGGATTGCGGTTTATGTATGGAGAACCGGTGATTCCTCCGCAACAAATCGCTTTGACAAGTAGATCCTTGATGTTACCTGAACACTGGAAATACTCTCTGACACCTGAGGTTGCGCCCGAATGTTTGAGTTGTTCGGATATCAGCCTGCTTTCCGCTGGTGCTGGCTGTTTATAAAGTGAGCCCCAAATTATGAAACAAGGCTATTGTTCGTCTAATACCCCAGGGCAGGAAAAAGGAGGATGCTGACCTTTGTGCTTGCTGCCGCCTTTGTAGCTCGAAGGTGTGTAAAGTGTGTAAACCACAAAAAGACGTACAAAGGGAAGAGGAGACCAGCGGCTGCCGAGCCCAGGTGCCGAACGCGGCTCCCGGGCGCGGGCGAATGAAACTCAATCCTCGCTTGCCCCGGTTTATATGTCATTTCCAAGCGTAGACCAGGCCGGCGGTTCAGCCGTCTGGGAAGGTGTGAGTGTTGGTGAGCGTTGCGCCCCCATCACATTTATCCAGAGACCTTAACCGCATGCGATGTCCGCGAGGCAACCCGAATCGGGAATTTGTCTGCGGATGACCGTGTTCCTGTGTCTGTCCAAGTCGTTTAATACTCGCAGTTGAGGAGCTACCGTCCATCTTTGACGGAATTGACACGGAATTGACACAGAATCGTAGGCGGTCTGGCAGTTGCGTCGGCATCGGATTTCTAGCGGGAAGTCAGCATATATACTGAAGGGGATTGACCTTTCTAGAAAGTTGTGATGAAGACTAGGATACCGACGACATATGTTTGTTTCTTCCTAGATACCTCAACAGCCCCAGCTTGGACAACAGCTATTTTCGTCATGTTGCTGAGAAATCTATTCGGCCTCGCAGCCGCTGCGACGACGTGCTTCTGCGCTTCTCTGCAGCAGGTCACCAACTTCGGTGACAATCCAACCAAAATCAACATGTATATATACGTACCCGATAAGCTGGCTGCCAAGCCAGCGGTGATTGTAGCTGTAAGTCCCCATTCGCTCTTGTCCCTAACCGGGCTGTGCTGACTCTTGCGGCCTGTCAGCTCCATGGATGCGGTGGTACGGCCACGCAGTGGTTCAGCGGCACCAAGCTGCCCTCCTACGCCAACTCGAACGGCTTCATCCTCGTCTACCCGGGCACGCCCAACATGAGCAACTGCTGGGACGTCAACAATGCAG